CAAGATCAAGATACTTCCAGAGGAGCAGGGGAAAGGATAACCTTTTCAGCTTCATTTTTGCAATCAATTTTCATACCATTTTTCAATCGTTTGTAAAAGTTCATCAAGTTCCTTGTAGATGTTTCCATCTCCAGTGCAGAAAATCATTCAACCGGGTTGAACATCATACATCATTTTTTGTCCCTTCTCACATAAATATATATGCTGAGTGCATTTTGCAGTTCTTCTTTCAAAGGGTGCTACCATGTGCAATTGTAAAATTATGTCATTCACATGAGATTTTTATGGTGAAAGAAAGAGGAAGAAAAATGGTTACATATTTATTTTACCTGTTACTTTTTTGTTCCCTGGATAGTATCATGAAGTAGACATTGGAGATATTTTAAATAGGGTTGACAAGGTGGTGTTATACTGTACTCAGTAATTATATGTTAATGCTGATTACATATTTATTGAATGTTTTGGGTTTTGGCATTTCTTAATTAAGCTTAATTATTAACAAGTGAGTGATATAATGATATTAATACTCAACTCCAAAATAGTGTTGAGTTAAGATAGCACAATGGAGGAGACAATACTACACTTGGGTCATTACAGTTTACTCAAACTTCACTTCATACGTAATGGTGAAAATTTTATGCAGAAATTTACCCTTTGGTGACTTGATTAAGACCTATTATTGGAAGGAACTTGATTATTTGTTTGGTAATATCATAATAATAATCATAATTAACCATAATTAGTACTCTCCAAATCCCTTGAAAACGTGATCTTAAATTTTTAAAACTTGTATCTTCAATTTTTCCCCCCACGAAATTAGGAATTAAATCTTATGCTTGGTAAATAATTTGATTAGTATATTTTATGTATTTAATACCTTAAACATATTTTTTTGAAAATTTGTGATTGATTTTCGTTATGACGACGTGAAATTATTATATATTTATTATACTCATAGTCGGAGTTTGCTCTGTAGTTGGTTCACCTTTTGGTTTGGATATCTGAAATAAACAAATTTTGTGGGGTTTAGTGTGGTATTTTTTTGAACATAGAAAAGAAAAATTGAATTATGTTAAACCAATTTTTATGATTTTTTTAAAATCAATTTTGTGATTTTATTTTGCAATTTTTATTTGTATATGTACTCAATTTTACATTTTTTTATGACAACTTAAGATCAATAATGTTATTTTTTTTATTTCATTATAATTAGTTTTCTTCAACATATTACATATAGTTTGTTATATACATTAACAACTTTTTTTTTATCTACAAAAGAGCTAAAAAAAAATATAAAAACATAAGGGTGTCTATCTTCACAACAAAGGAAAATAAAGAACAATAATTGTTGTGTTACATTTATACACCATAATATACATTATTATATTTTACAGTCATGTATTACTAAATCACACAATCTTCTAACATTACACTTTCAGGTTAGGATAAAAGATTGAAACTTTTCATAAGACACACAAGTGAATATAATGGTGCTTAGGGCTGTTTTACATTATTACGATGTTACTAACTGAGATTATGGACAACAATTAAAAACATGCAAGTGAATATATCCTTTAACAATTATTTTATTCATATCTAAAATTAGATCCCCTAAATCAAAAACACGCTTGATTGTGATCTTTCGAGTTAAGAGAGAGCAAAGCATAAGATGAAGGAAACACAAAAGCAAGCTACACCTTTTAACCAAAATCCTGATAAAGTGTTTTTTTGTTGAAGACTAAACTAAGCTCCTTTTTCACTCACCCACTTTTTTCTATGATAAACTATTTTCCCTCTAAACATTGCTAGCTGACAACAGAAATAAATTTTATCGTAAAAGACACAAGCAAAGTCCAACACCTTCTGATCATAGTCATATCTTTGGTTGAACACTTGATCCACTCAAAACCTATGTGTAATTAGTTTCAACCTTAGGAAAGGTAGGTAAAGTAGGTGCATTTTCTTCTGTAACTTAGTAGTTCCAAATGGAAGTGGAGAAAGTAAGGTCCTCGTTTGTGTCATATGCTTCAAACTGAAGAATTTCTTCTGATGCAAGATAGTTACACACAACTTCATGGTCATGCATCTCAATCAGTTCCTCCCAGTTAACACTACTCATGTCAGAAAACACTCCTGGTTGTTCACTCTCATCTCGTGATGCAGCTTCTGACACTGCTGAACTTCCTGAGCTGTCAGTTTTCTCTGCCTCTCTTTCATCTTTTAGTATTCCCATCTGTTGAAGAAACTCAAGCAGGTCTATCTCGGGTTTCTCCTCAAAATCAGCTGTTTGTTTTTGTGGTGAAGCTTGAGAATCTTGGGGCAGTGGAGGGAGAATCTCTGGATGGTTTTGGTTGACCAAGTTGTCAAGTTCTACCACCTTTGAATGTGGTGGTTGAGTTGGTGCAGACACCCCATTGTGCTTGAGCTGTTGCAGCCTCTGGTGGATGAGATGGAGACTTGGTTGAGCATTGAGGTTGAGAAGTCCACGTGAGGGGAACATGGAGATGAAGTTGTTGGAAGGGAACCACTTGAAATTTTGAGATTTGGTGGTGGAGTTGATGAGGTTTGGTTGCATGTGGGGGAGGTTGAGGTAAGCATCAGGACCATAGAGTCTCCTTGCAGCTTGATCATAGGCGAAAGCAGCTTCTTCTGCTGTGGCAAAGGAGCCAAGCCAGAGTCTTGATCTCTTCTTAGGCTCTCTTATCTCAGCGACCCATTTGCCCCATGTTCTTTGTCTGACACCTCTATACTCACAGGAGGCATTTTGGGGGCCACCTTTGCCCCTTGTTGGGCCTTTCTTCCATGGCTTTAGAGGGGAGTTTTTGCAACCCTCCATGGCTGATAGTGATGGGAATTGAGGAAGGAAAGGTGGTGGTGGTGATGATGATGATACACTTGGAATTGATGCATGATGAGGGAGGAATGGAGCGGGATATGTAGGAGCAAGAGTGAAGTTTGGTGTTAAATGTTGTCACGTTTGGAGAAGTGGCCATGTGACCGTTGTGCTTTCTGAAGACACAGATATTGCTTCAAGTCTTCACTATTTTTTTACTTTTCATTTTCTTCTTCTTACATGGAATTTTCTGGGTTGAATGAATTCTTTTCTTGTTGTTGTTGTCAACTTTGTAAATTACACGTGTTGGTTACTGTGACTAAGTGTTGCATGTTCTTAACATGTGGTGGATAATCATACTTTTGTTGTCTTTTCTCTTTCATACAATACTCTCGCTTTCTAAACAAAAGATAACTTGTCTAACTGAAAAGTTGAGGAAAGAATAAACTTTTAAATAACTTGTGCTCTTGGAATTAAGGTCAAAGGTTTTTTAATTGATTCACCTAGTTGTTTTTCCAAGTCACGGATAAAGGATTGTTGTGACATATATACCAAATATTTTTCAAAAAAAAGAAAAATGACATCTTAGAATAAATGTTATTTGGTCTTCTGTTTTTTTTTTTCATAATTTTGGTCACTCTACTTTTGTTTTCGTCATTATAATCCTCATCTTTTTGAAAATCCACAATTTTAGTTCAATTTTTTTAATTTGTATGTTCGATTTTATTTTTACAGAATCTTAATTTAACTAAAAAAATGAGTGTATCCGCAATATATATCTATGCAAAAAATGATAACATTTATACTGAGATAAATAAACTTTGAATATGTTTCAAAAATAAGTCAGGATAATATAATTTATGTACAAAGATATTTAAATATTTCTAAAAAATAAATGCTTGCAAGTGCTGATATCTCAGTATCCGTCATGAACCGGTTAACACTCGAATATGACTAGTCATTTTCAATAAATAGCAAATCCAAATATCCAATTTAGGAACTTGGTTTTCATCCGTAGTTCTTGGTAGGATCGATTATCAACTGTTTAAAACTGGGCAACCTATGATTTTGAAATTGAATTGACAGGTCAAAGGAGTTTTAACAGTACTTCGTCTTAGTTGTCACCTAAAAATAAAATTACACAAACACCAGGCAAGAGAACCATCTTGAATTATGCAAATACTCACAAGTTTATCAGTTTCTGATGTCCAAAAACTTTAATTATTACAAGATAAGGCTTTGCAAATGAAGAGCTATAATTGATCCAATGAGGAAAATGGAAGAAAATTTGGTTATTAAATGGGGAGGCAGTGACTACAGTATACATGGAGAGAGTTTTTCCTAGTAACTGTGAGTGCTTTGAATGAACTCTGACACTCATCTTTGGATTCTATAAGTTAGCCGAATTTGACCTCAACGATCAGAAAGATCCACCTCAACATTTTCCAATATCACGAGCCACATTTCACATGTTTTCCTGCTATACACAGCCTGATTCTCGAGACCTACTTCACCTTTATCCCATGCTTTTCCTCTATTTACCCAGATATGTCATCTGTGAATTACATTCACATCGTTGAAGTCTTAAAAACTCCTACCACTTAAAACCAAAGAAAACGAATTTAAACATTACAATGAAGCAATGGTAATGTAAAATGGATGCTGAAGGCAGCCGTATGACAACTAAACATACGATTACATGACAAATTGGAGATAGATTATTTGAGGAGGAAAAAAATGAAATCAAACTTGTAAGTGAAAAGATAATTCACATGAAACACCTGAGTAAAACATATTGAGATATACCATCAAGATTTCATATTTTCACTAGAACCTTATGATACAAGCGACTGATTTATGTGAACATCTACACCGACAATTGATTTAAAATGGTAGTGCTGAATCAACATTGTTATTTGCAATCAAATGATCTGGGCAGATCAACCTTGTTGTTAAATGGAATTTAAGGCACCACTTCAATGATTCTCTTCTCTTGGCAAAAGATTGTGCAACTTACTTGTAAGGGTAAAGGCGATACTGTAAATGTAATAGGAGACTAGATGTGACAATATAAAATGTTGGAAGTCCCACATTTACTAGTTCTAAGGTCAATTTAGAGTATATAAGTGGGTGTAAACCTCATCTTATAAGCCGATTTTGTGAGGTTGAGTTAAGCTTAAAGTACACCTCTTAACATGGTATCAAAGTTATGGTTAGAGTCTATCCTAATGTTATTTGTTGTTTGTTGGACATATTGTTCCACTCGCTATCGGGCCACTATTGAGCCGCTATTGGACCACCCATTAATGTCTAGTCTCACACTCGAGATGTATATACCTTGGCATGAGAAGGTATATTGAAAGTTTCACATTAACTAGCGATAAGGCCATTTTAGAGCATATAAGTGGATGCAAACCTCACCTTATAAGCCGATTTTGTGGAGTTGAGTTAGACTTAAAGTCTATCTCTTAACATAAAGATCATCTACCGAGTTTCTTGAGGGAAGAACAAAATGAAATGGATTAGATAAGCAAACAACATACATACATAAACTACATGTCATACACTTGATTCAACCAGAGTAATATGGTAAACCAAAATGATCCTTGGATACTGAGCACATTCAAAAACCCAAAATGAATACATATTCCTCACCAACATATTGATGCAAATACAACCTCCCTCTTTATATTTTGTTTCCATTCATAGAACATTATGGACTAGCAAAGAAGCAAGCTACAATTTCAACTAACTTCTGAATTTTGAAGGTATAAATAAAGATCCATAAACCATCATTCTTGTGTTTTGAGGTCAAGATATTATGAGACAAAACCCTCGTTTGAACCATAAATTTTGGTACAGATAGTGTAGATATGGGTCCTGTCCTTTTTATCAATTAATATGTTACAAGAGGAATCAATGCAACATTTTCTCTTTTTTAAAAAGAGTAAATTATCTCCTGAAGTGAAAGAACATGGTACAGACAATTCACGAAATCAGTAACGGAGTGCATGACGCATAGGCGCATTCCAGAATTAATAAGATAAAATTTTAAGTAGTTCGGGTAGACCTGGGACCTTGTATAGAGAATACTAATTTTACCTAATTTTCGACTACTGCCAGTCACATGAGAATGATGAACAACGGCAGACAGATGACCACTCTTTCATGTATAACTTGAGATGAAGCCTTTCATTTTGATTTTGGGGAAGCTTTGCACATGTTCTTCCATTTATCCTTCAGGTCTTGTGGTGTACGGCGCTTACCAACTTTCTCAAACACATGAGAACCAAATGCCAAAATGTTTTTCCATTTCTTTGGGTCATTGAAACCAAACTTCTGTACTCCTTCCTTCACAGAGAAAACAAACAATTATTACAAAACACACACACACACACGTGTGTGTGTGTATATATATATATCCTTGACATACATTAAACCTCAAAATTCAAGGTGAAAGAAACACATAGGAGGTCTACATCCTTTAACTTTCTATCATAGTATAAGATTGTTCTTACTCAAAGAATTGTTGTGGAAGCAAAAGAAATACATGCTCGAGGAATGCTATTTAGACAGAAACATAATGTAATTAGATAATTATAAGATGTGAAGTCATACTACATGGAAGAAGTGATGGAAGAAAGAAAAAAGATACCCTTATCATCTCTTCCTCTTCAGCTGTCCATGGAATATATTTTCGTCTTAATTGATTATCGAGAAATGCTGGGCTTGCCTCAGGTTTGCTGTCAGTCAAAATAACCAATTCAATTAGAATAACTACAATAGTAAAAGTCCTTCAAACGTAATTATTACTATAAGGCAGCATTTGGTTCATGAACTATTTCTACATCCCCAAAATCTTAAGGTGGGATGACACATTCGCAAATTTAGAATAAGATATGAAAAATTGCCAGTAAAAGACTTATTCTCAGAGATATTTTATAAATTAGGATTCCCACAATCATTTCCACTGGAGAAAGGGGGACGATCATTCCCATTCTGTCATGGGAACAGTTCTAGATTGTTAGAAATTGGGGAATAGTTCAATTTTGAAGGAAAATGCATCAGATGTTATTTGTCACAAAGGTGTCTCCTACGCTTAAAGGAAAACTTTGCTGCAGCCACAAAGCCAGTGGCGTTTTATGTTGGAAAACAGCATTTACTGCAACTCATGGATGGTGGTTTAGTTCTATATTGAATAGTGATATGATTAAAATGAAGTATATAACTGATATATAAAACCTTATCTTATAAATTAATTTTATGAGGTTGAGATAGAATAGAGATATGACTAAAATGAAGTATATAACCGAGACGTAAATCTTATCTTATAGGTCTGTTTTGTGGAATTAAGGGGGAATGTAATTTATTCTCATTCACTAGTGATATGGCTAAAATAAAGTATATAAGGTACAAACCTCATCTTACACATTGTTTTGAAGGGTTGAGTTAAGTTCAAACCCCAAATTTCTAGGACTATATTTTTAGTACTGAATGTGTTGCAACAAGGGCCAACAAGAGCATATGATCCAAGTAATAAGTTGGACGAGTGTTCATACAAGAAAAGATATGATTGAGAATGGATATTAGAGAGAAAGTTGAAGTGTAATAGAATTAGAGAATAGTTGAGAAGTATTTCTACTCAACTGAATCAGAGATACAAGAATATTTTTTACACAAGATCAGTTAGAGCATAAGCACTCAACTCATTAGATAGAGATTACATCAGTCAAATATAAAGTTCTACAGGACAACTGCCGTAGAAAGAACAAAAGAAAAACAGAGAGTAAAACAACTCTAATAAAGCGATAACTACAGAGGAAAAGATGGTAAAATTATGTTGAGTCTAAGATAGTTTAGACACATGTAAAAAAGAACAATGGCAGCACTAGTTAAGAAGAGCTGATCTAACTGAAGACAGCCCAAAAAGATTGTAGATGTTGAGTTAAACCATTGGTTTTGAAAAAATACATTGGCAATCTTTTGATCCATCCAGACAACATCACATGAAATATTCATGGCATAAGAAACACAAAAAAAAAAATACATCCTAACAAAAATATTGTTGACAAAAGTATTTAAAACATGGCACTTAACCAAATATGGTAGAACTCATTACCCACCAAACTACTCAGATAATAATAATCACATATGGTAGGGAAAGTTTAGGAACTTACCATTGCATTTTATGTTTACGGTATCTCATGGAGTATCTAGAAATACTATGCTTTTCACATTCATTTTCAGACATTTCCTCTTTTCCAGTATTATGTTCAGAAACTGACTCTGTTGCTCCATCAGTATCTAGATGTTTTGCCGTTTCTTGTGGACTTTCATATCCAGAATTGCTTTTATTAACAAGGGTTTCTTTTTCAACAGTACATGTGTCACCAACAAGTCCATCTACATGGTCAGTTGGCAATTTATTTTCTTCACCTCTTACACCAGTTATGTTCTTTGCATTTGGCATTTGACCTATTTTCTCTTCTCTTAAAAATTCAACTGATCCATTGCTTATATTTTCCTTTTCTCTGAATGACGAATAGGTACACGATATATTATGGGCTTGTTGCTGACTTCTTCCAAACTGAAGATTATTGGCTTCATTTGCATGCTCATCAACATTATCTTCTCTATTGTCTCCACACCTTGTTAACTGTTCATCTCCTTTGTTTTTGACATGAATATGTTCATACTCACTACTCTTTCTTGAAAAAACATGTTCTTGTGTACGAAATTCATAAAGAAGACTATCGGCAGCTCGACTCGTTTTACCTTTACTAATAAAGATGGCTAATTCCTTCCTTGCTAAGGAAGCTTCTTTCTTAGCTTCAATATATTCTGAAATAGTGCGAGAATATGTGCAAAATGGGCAAAAAAAGTCGCCCTCTGTATTGCATTGTGCAGAGGCCCCTAGACAGTTTTCATGCACCATCATTGGGCAAGTAGTTGTTTTACAAGCCAATAATTGGCCACCTTGATTACACTTCATGCAAAGATTTTTTTCATTTGGTTCATTCATTGCTGAGAAATCTTGATCAACAGTGCAGTGGGAGTGCAGGAATTCATGCTTTTTTGCTTCAAGACATTTTTTTTCTTTGTGATACTCATCACTATCACTTGATAACTCTGCTCCACAACCATTAACCACACCAACTATAGTTTCATCACGAGCAACTGGCTCTTGGGAGAGATTTAACGCTTCAATATCTGGTTCTGTCTGTTTGGGTTGGTGTAGATTAATTGTTTGCTGATTTTTTTCTGCATTAGCATCATTTGTTGGCATGGTAGTTGCCATACCAAGACAGCATTCAGTAACCACCTCTGCTCCACAACCATTAACCACACCAACTATAGTTTCATCACAAGCAACTGACTCTTGGGAGAGATTTAACGCTGCGATATCTGGTTCTGTCTGTTTGGGTTGGTGTAGATTAATTGTTTGATGATTTTTTTCTGCATTAGCATCATTTGTTGGCATGGTAGTTTCCATACCAAGACAACATTCAGTAACCACTGGTTGGACGACATTTACATCACTAATTGGTAATTGGTCACCTTCATTACACTTTAAACAAAGATTTTGTACTGTCTGCTTCTTCATTTTAAGGCTATTTGTTTCACTTTGATATCCAATATCACCTGATTCCTCTACCCTACAACCATTCCCAGTATGATCAAGTGCTTTAACACCAGCAATTTGATGCGGTGAGTCATTTGGATCTTCAAGTTGTAAATCTTTTTCATGTTTAGACTTGGGTTTACCTCCTGAAATCCCATGTTGGATTCCATCTGCAAGTGCTTCCTGTGGAATTGACTTAACCAGCTGTTGTTGAGAATTTTCACCACCAAATGTATGTTGAAGCATCAAAGCATCATTAAAAGGAATATTTGATTCATCAGGGGGGACTTCAATATGTCTGCTGGGTTGGCACAATTTTGAAACAATGCATCTATAGGGAATATCCTCTGAGAACCCACCACCCACAGTTTCCTTGTTATTATTTTCTACATGATGATCTCCTTGTTCAGAAACTAGAAGCATTCTTTCAGTTAAATGTTCCAACACTTCCTGTCTGTGTTGAGAATCTGGCTTCTCTTTCCTAGGCTCAAAACTTGTAGATGCAGAAAGTTTAACCCTCTTTGATGTTCTAAAGAAATCACCACATTCCTTCACACAGACTTGCTTTCCATGAAAGTGTTTTGTAAGATAATCATCAACTGAGTAAACCCTACTCCTCTTAGAGGGAGAAGAATTATTATCAAGCAAGTGTTCTCTTGAAGATTTATTCCCATTCTCTAAAGTCAAGGACACTGAGTTATCTTTTCCTAGCACGTTTTCTGTATTGGCGGAGTTCCCAGCTTCCTTAGCAGAATGATCGTCACGATTGACATCATTTACAATCACCGAATAACTGTTATTCTGAGGAAATAATCCACTCCTTTCTTTCAAGTAATCAGTATGAGGATGAGTACCTTCCAAGATTGTTTGTCTCAGCTATTCAGCATCAGGAAAAGAAACAGATCATACAAAACTGGTATGAAAACATACAAATCTCATACAGGAGAGTTCTCAAACAAAAAGGACACTTTCATTACCTGCTCTAAGTGGCATGTAGAAGTGACAGCTCTTTTGTGATTTATAAACGGGTAAAGATCTGATTTCAAAAGCTTCACTCCATTCATTTTCAGATTTGATAATGGGATCTGCTTCATACGTTACACAAATAAAAGAGGGAGATTTATCTCAATTAGCATATTCATAAAGATCCATCTTCAAATATTAAAAAGAAAAATACTAGAGTCTGGAAACAACAACAATCACGTTTTCATTATTTCCAGTATAAATCTTTAAACAGGAAATAAAGTGAAAACGAACTGCCACCAGTGTAATTGTTTATATAAACACAGCAAATGAAAACAGGAAACGTTTTTCAAAACAAACATAAATACAGTATGACTATTCAAATTAGTTCAAATAGCCTCCAACATTAAAAGGAGTAAGTAAACNCATACATTAAACCTCAAAATTCAAGGTGAAAGAAACACATAGGAGGTCTACATCCTTTAACTTTCTATCATAGTATAAGATTGTTCTTACTCAAAGAATTGTTGTGGAAGCAAAAGAAATACATGCTCGAGGAATGCTATTTAGACAGAAACATAATGTAATTAGATAATTATAAGATGTGAAGTCATACTACATGGAAGAAGTGATGGAAGAAAGAAAAAAGATACCCTTATCATCTCTTCCTCTTCAGCTGTCCATGGAATATATTTTCGTCTTAATTGATTATCGAGAAATGCTGGGCTTGCCTCAGGTTTGCTGTCAGTCAAAATAACCAATTCAATTAGAATAACTACAATAGTAAAAGTCCTTCAAACGTAATTATTACTATAAGGCAGCATTTGGTTCATGAACTATTTCTACATCCCCAAAATCTTAAGGTGGGATGACACATTCGCAAATTTAGAATAAGATATGAAAAATTGCCAGTAAAAGACTTATTCTCAGAGATATTTTATAAATTAGGATTCCCACAATCATTTCCACTGGAGAAAGGGGGACGATCATTCCCATTCTGTCATGGGAACAGTTCTAGATTGTTAGAAATTGGGGAATAGTTCAATTTTGAAGGAAAATGCATCAGATGTTATTTGTCACAAAGGTGTCTCCTACGCTTAAAGGAAAACTTTGCTGCAGCCACAAAGCCAGTGGCGTTTTATGTTGGAAAACAGCATTTACTGCAACTCATGGATGGTGGTTTAGTTCTATATTGAATAGTGATATGATTAAAATGAAGTATATAACTGATATATAAAACCTTATCTTATAAATTAATTTTATGAGGTTGAGATAGAATAGAGATATGACTAAAATGAAGTATATAACCGAGACGTAAATCTTATCTTATAGGTCTGTTTTGTGGAATTAAGGGGGAATGTAATTTATTCTCATTCACTAGTGATATGGCTAAAATAAAGTATATAAGGTACAAACCTCATCTTACACATTGTTTTGAAGGGTTGAGTTAAGTTCAAACCCCAAATTTCTAGGACTATATTTTTAGTACTGAATGTGTTGCAACAAGGGCCAACAAGAGCATATGATCCAAGTAATAAGTTGGACGAGTGTTCATACAAGAAAAGATATGATTGAGAATGGATATTAGAGAGAAAGTTGAAGTGTAATAGAATTAGAGAATAGTTGAGAAGTATTTCTACTCAACTGAATCAGAGATACAAGAATATTTTTTACACAAGATCAGTTAGAGCATAAGCACTCAACTCATTAGATAGAGATTACATCAGTCAAATATAAAGTTCTACAGGACAACTGCCGTAGAAAGAACAAAAGAAAAACAGAGAGTAAAACAACTCTAATAAAGCGATAACTACAGAGGAAAAGATGGTAAAATTATGTTGAGTCTAAGATAGTTTAGACACATGTAAAAAAGAACAATGGCAGCACTAGTTAAGAAGAGCTGATCTAACTGAAGACAGCCCAAAAAGATTGTAGATGTTGAGTTAAACCATTGGTTTTGAAAAAATACATTGGCAATCTTTTGATCCATCCAGACAACATCACATGAAATATTCATGGCATAAGAAACACAAAAAAAAAAATACATCCTAACAAAAATATTGTTGACAAAAGTATTTAAAACATGGCACTTAACCAAATATGGTAGAACTCATTACCCACCAAACTACTCAGATAATAATAATCACATATGGTAGGGAAAGTTTAGGAACTTACCATTGCATTTTATGTTTACGGTATCTCATGGAGTATCTAGAAATACTATGCTTTTCACATTCATTTTCAGACATTTCCTCTTTTCCAGTATTATGTTCAGAAACTGACTCTGTTGCTCCATCAGTATCTAGATGTTTTGCCGTTTCTTGTGGACTTTCATATCCAGAATTGCTTTTATTAACAAGGGTTTCTTTTTCAACAGTACATGTGTCACCAACAAGTCCATCTACATGGTCAGTTGGCAATTTATTTTCTTCACCTCTTACACCAGTTATGTTCTTTGCATTTGGCATTTGACCTATTTTCTCTTCTCTTAAAAATTCAACTGATCCATTGCTTATATTTTCCTTTTCTCTGAATGACGAATAGGTACACGATATATTATGGGCTTGTTGCTGACTTCTTCCAAACTGAAGATTATTGGCTTCATTTGCATGCTCATCAACATTATCTTCTCTATTGTCTCCACACCTTGTTAACTGTTCATCTCCTTTGTTTTTGACATGAATATGTTCATACTCACTACTCTTTCTTGAAAAAACATGTTCTTGTGTACGAAATTCATAAAGAAGACTATCGGCAGCTCGACTCGTTTTACCTTTACTAATAAAGATGGCTAATTCCTTCCTTGCTAAGGAAGCTTCTTTCTTAGCTTCAATATATTCTGAAATAGTGCGAGAATATGTGCAAAATGGGCAAAAAAAGTCGCCCTCTGTATTGCATTGTGCAGAGGCCCCTAGACAGTTTTCATGCACCATCATTGGGCAAGTAGTTGTTTTACAAGCCAATAATTGGCCACCTTGATTACACTTCATGCAAAGATTTTTTTCATTTGGTTCATTCATTGCTGAGAAATCTTGATCAACAGTGCAGTGGGAGTGCAGGAATTCATGCTTTTTTGCTTCAAGACATTTTTTTTCTTTGTGATACTCATCACTATCACTTGATAACTCTGCTCCACAACCATTAACCACACCAACTATAGTTTCATCACGAGCAACTGGCTCTTGGGAGAGATTTAACGCTTCAATATCTGGTTCTGTCTGTTTGGGTTGGTGTAGATTAATTGTTTGCTGATTTTTTTCTGCATTAGCATCATTTGTTGGCATGGTAGTTGCCATACCAAGACAGCATTCAGTAACCACCTCTGCTCCACAACCATTAACCACACCAACTATAGTTTCATCACAAGCAACTGACTCTTGGGAGAGATTTAACGCTGCGATATCTGGTTCTGTCTGTTTGGGTTGGTGTAGATTAATTGTTTGATGATTTTTTTCTGCATTAGCATCATTTGTTGGCATGGTAGTTTCCATACCAAGACAACATTCAGTAACCACTGGTTGGACGACATTTACATCACTAATTGGTAATTGGTCACCTTCATTACACTTTAAACAAAGATTTTGTACTGTCTGCTTCTTCATTTTAAGGCTATTTGTTTCACTTTGATATCCAATATCACCTGATTCCTCTACCCTACAACCATTCCCAGTATGATCAAGTGCTTTAACACCAGCAATTTGATGCGGTGAGTCATTTGGATCTTCAAGTTGTAAATCTTTTTCATGTTTAGACTTGGGTTTTCCTCCTGAAATCCCATGTTGGATTCCATCTGCAAGTGCTTCTTGTGGAATTGACTTAACCAGCTGTTGTTGAGAATTTTCACCACCAAATGTATGTTGAAGCATCAAAGCATCATTAAAAGGAATATTTGATTCATCAGGGGGGACTTCAATATGTCTGCTGGGTTGGCACAATTTTGAAACAATGCATCTATAGGGAATATCCTCTGAGAACCCACCACCCACAGTTTCCTTGTTATTATTTTCTACATGATGATCTCCTTGTTCAGAAACTAGAAGCATTCTTTCAGTTAAATGTTCCAACACTTCCTGTCTGTGTTGAGAATCTGGCTTCTCTTTCCTAGGCTCAAAACTTGTAGATGCAGAAAGTTTAACCCTCTTTGATGTTCTAAAGAAATCACCACATTCCTTCACACAGACTTGCTTTCCATGAAAGTGTTTTGTAAGATAATCATCAACTGAGTAAACCCTACTCCTCTTAGAGGGAGAAGAATTATTATCAAGCAAGTGTTCTCTTGAAGATTTATTCCCATTCTCTAAAGTCAAGGACACTGAGTTATCTTTTCCTAGCACGTTTTCTGTATTGGCGGAGTTCCCAGCTTCCTTAGCAGAATGATCGTCACGATTGACATCATTTACAATCACCGAATAACTGTTATTCTGAGGAAATAATCCACTCCTTTCTTTCAAGTAATCAGTATGAGGATGAGTACCTTCCAAGATTGTTTGTCTCAGCTATTCAGCATCAGGAAAAGAAACAGATCATACAAAACTGGTATGAAAACATACAAATCTCATACAGGAGAGTTCTCAAACAAAAAGGACACTTTCATTACCTGCTCTAAGTGGCATGTAGAAGTGACAGCTCTTTTGTGATTTATAAACGGGTAAAGATCTGATTTCAAAAGCTTCTCTCCATTCATTTTCAGATTTGATAATGGGATCTGCTTCATACGTTACACAAATAAAAGAGGGAGATTTATCTCAATTAGCATATTCATAAAGATCCATCTTCAAATATTAAAAAGAAAAATACTAGAGTCTGGAAACAACAACAATCACGTTTTCATTATTTCCAGTATAAATCTTTAAACAGGAAATAAAGTGAAAACGAACTGCCACCAGTGTAATTGTTTATATAAACACAGCAAATGAAAACAGGAAACGTTTTTCAAAACAAACATAAATACAGTATGACTATTCAAATTAGTTCAAATAGCCTCCAACATTAAAAGGAGTAAGTAAACTATGTCATTCACATATCAAAGGTGATTTAGTGTGTATTTGGGTGAACAATTATAAAATTGATTTGGGTTAAACTTGACTTTAAAGCTATGTAATTTATGCTTGTATATTTTATCCCAAAAGCAAGTTTCAAGTAAAACCTAAGCCCAAACTTTCCACCTTAACATAATTTACCTTTTACTAGTTCTAGCCCAACGATGATTTAAATGCAAAATCAATTTTACCCAACAATAACCAAACATCCTTGTCTATATTAAAATCAAACCAAGGCAAACTCAAATCTAACGCTTCCTACCGTGATATCAAACATACTTAAAATTTGAAATTGTTTTACCTCATCCAATATTTCCTGGAGGACATCTTGACAACTCCGCGAAAAATCAAATCCAGCTCTGGAATCCGATGATGAAGAAGCTACACCGTCAAACATAATAGTGGACAGTTTCTCCAAGCACCTCAAAGAAACCATTTCTTTTACATTTTCACCAAATTTATCCTTCCCCACAGGTGCTGCATCAATCAAACCTACATCATCGTCAACAACAGCTACAGTAATCATGAAATTATTCATAACAAATGAAATTAAAAGGAAAATAAGCGAGTATGGCTCTTTTTACTCAGCAAAGTGGGATTCGAGATTTCTTTACGGGCTGCTAGGGTTTCAATGACCCAGAGCCATGCCAATGCTGAAGGGTCATCGCCACCATCCATGGACAACGGTGTTTTCAAGTGCACCGAAACCCTATATGGCTTTGAATTGTGGTTACCAACACTGTTCGAGGGTATTCGAGAATGCGAAAGCGTTCATTCCTGCGCCAAACGCGAATGCGTCATGAGAGTTGCGAAGAGGAACTGAAAAGTGCGATTTTGATTTGAACTGGAATCGCGTTTTGGTTTCAGAAACGGTGAAGTTGTTCGAAGAGGAAGATGGGAGGCACTTCTGCGAAAGATTTCTTAACACTCTTAGTTTATTATTGTTTTTCAAATCTCTGTGATTTTAATTGGGATTCTCTCCACCGTAATTTAGTCCCTACCCTCTCCAGCCAAAATGTTGTCCATTGGATTAATTGAACGGCTCATATTTTTTAAGAGAAAAAAAACACGAATGCTTAAATTCCTCTTGATTCAGAATAAAAAAAATCAAATTCACATTTAATATTTAATTTTTTTGGAATAGTAAAATTTTCTAGTGTATGAATAGTTAAAAAAATCAAAAGCTCGAATTCTTAAATTCCTCGCATCGAATAAAATTATATATGAAGCAAATTTAGTATAAATATTTATAACAACATTTTGAAAAAAAAAAAAAATTTAAACCCTTGGATGTTTCGAATATCTGTTGTGGAATTTCAAATGAATTCTAAATTTTGTTAAATCATAACAATTAAACCCTTTCTTTAAGTGTTGACACATCAATTAATGTGCACAATAAATACGATGATGTTAATGATTTTATTATGTGAAATTAAAATTTAAATTAAGGAATTTTGACATGGTAAAATTTAATTGGTCATTTATGTTAAAATAATAGATTAAGGCTTTTGTTTTTTTCAAATTAGGGCTTTCTGAACTAAATAGGGTTAAAGAAAGAGGAAATTAAAAAGGGAATTAGAGATTTGAATGCGAACAAGTGACGAACAACATGAAGATATTTGAATTCAAATTAAGGTTCTTGATGACTTGTAATTCAAATATCCAACTTTCAAGATCGAAATACAAGAATAGAAAATCCCAAAAGAGAATTCCTAAATCATAACTCAAAATGATGCGACCACTCTTCACGACTCATCCTACAATGGATGAGAAACTCATAAATCAACCCTCAAGACGAAATGCAAACTCCAAATCATTGCAAGAGCGAGGTTGGCACACTCTCACTACCACTCCTGTAGAGAAACAATCAAACAGAACAATCGAAATTAGAAAAGGAGGTGGGAAGGAAACTTTCTCCTTTGCTGTGAATCAGAATGAAGAGAAGAAGAAGAACAACCACCACACCCTTGCGACCACGCTGCTTTTCCGTCGCATCTCCGCCGCGTCATTAATGATCCCCCAGGTTGGTTGTCTGCGCAGAAAATGAGAGGAAAGAAGCTTGAAGCTTCTGGGTTTCCTCAAGATAAAAGGAAAAGGGAAAAGAAGAAGGGTGATCCCCCAATCACCTCTCGCGTGACGGAGAAAACCCTAGGTTGGGTTGGATGCCCGAACCTAAAGCAAAGAAGAAGAAGAATAATTCCTTGCTAATAAACCAAAATGAAAAAGAGGAAGGATAATAATGTCGCCCTTGTAGGACGACGAAGGATCCTCTAATACTCGGGTTTGTCCGCGAAGAAGAGGAAGCCAAATTTGGGAAAAAAGTTTTCTGATTAGGATTATTAGGTGAATTAGGTTTTTTGAAAGCTAATTGGGATAATTAAAGTTAAAGAGATTTACTTGCATTACTTAATTAGAATCATAAATGTTTTTTAAAATTGTCATTATAGGTCGTAATTTATATTTTCCATGTAATAAAATCATGTATATCAGCATTATTTCATCAATTTGATGCTCTTTCTGACCACTTAACAAGATTTTCAAAAAGAGGACCACTTGATATTCTTCCATAAACATGAGAGGGATTTAAACCAAAAATTAATTACATAACTTAATGAATACAAAATAAAAAAAACCCAATCATTTGTAGGTAACAAATGTTAACATTGCATATCGGATAGAAATAAGCATTTTTTTTTTCAAATGAAAAATATGACATTTTACTACTAGTCAAATTTCAACTTTTTGCAGAGATCAAAATTAAAGAAACTTTTTTAATAGTAACTAAAGTCAAATTTTACTAATTTTATACATACAAAATATATTTAAGTTTATATTTTAATATTATATATTATAAAATATATTGTTATGTATTTAGTATGCACTATATATAAATATTGTAATATTATTTATATATACAATATTTTATACAAGAAAAATTCAATACTAATATATCATGAGTTAAACTTTCAATCTAAAAAGTTTAAGATTTTTTTCTATTATATATAACAGGTCAACTTCTCATACTTATTACTGGTTCTTATTAGTAGAATATAAAATGTTATAAAAAAAACTCTTATTTTCATATTTGATAATGAGTACAACATGAGATACAAGTGCTTACTCTAAGAGTCCAGAAGATTTAGTTTATAGAGAGGATAGGTGTCTCATGTAAAGACTGAGAGAAGTCAGTCTTGGGAGTGAACAAGTGACAGTAGATAATGAGACCGAGCATTTAATAATAAAATAATATTGATATATAAACGTTGAATTCAAAGTTCGTTTCATTATCTGAGAAATCATTATCACTCTTCAAAGCTCTATTCTCTTTTCTCCTCTTCTCTTTAAAAATCTCTCATCTCACCTCATCTGATCTACAATCAGATTGTGCCTAAGTCATCCTGGTGTCAAGACTTCCTCATTCACCGATCAAACTTGTGTTTTGAACGGGTAAATTTGTTTCTTGAGTTTTTATGAAAATCTGGAAAATTCTGTCACATGCAAGGTAGCCCTGCTGGTTGCATATGTTCTTCAACCTTTTCTTCTCCTTTCTAACTTCATTTTGGTCCGTTGGGTGGTCTTTTCTCACCAATCGGTGAACTATAGGTGTTCCTAGGATTTTCTGGTGTGAAAGCAATTTCTAGAAAAGATAAATGTTGTTCTGTTGTCAAAGAGGTAAGGGAAGCTAGTTAATTTAATTATGATTTACTATGTATGAAAATATTGTTTGATGGTTCTGCATGTATGTGAAATTGAATGATTGTGTGTTCGGCATTGTTGGTGTGTGTTGTGTTCATGTTGAATGCCTTTCTGCATAATTCTAGTTCATTGGCCGAGTGAATTGTGAGGAAGTGTGGTAGCGAAAATGAGGAATTTGTGTCTGTTGTGAGTTTGGTTTGTATGGAAAATCTAGGTAAGTTATTTAAGACTTGTTAGAACCCGTAAGTCACTCAAACTGTACCAAAACTAGAAAATTTGATGTTCGGTCCTTGAGTTCATAATTTTACAGAATTGACTCTCAAATCTGAGATGAAACTCTCTTAATGATTTTAGAAAGGCTTAGATACTCTTAATTAATGTGTATAGATAGGTATGATACAAGTTTGGAGGATTAGAAGTTGTGAACAATACAGGGAATTGGTAAGGATTTGGTGTTGATCATAATTCTGCAGTTATTCTGCAGAATTATGCAGTTCGCTGAGGGTCCTTCATTGACCGTTCGGCTTCCTCTGGTGCTCGGTCTTAACTAAGTTTTGCTATTGTGGATCTTCAGTTAATGACCGATTGGTCTTGTGCTAATATTGAATTGAATATAGCGTTTGGTCTAGTTATAGCCTTCGGTCTTAACTACGTTCGGTTTGTTACAGGCCTTACCTGTTAATGACCGCTCGGTCATGTACTAGTACTCGGTCTCAGTAGTGCTCGGTTGTACTAGCACTCGGTCTCGTACTTGTAATCGGTCTTAACTGTGTTCGACCTCTTATGGGTCTTACCCGTTAATGACCGGTAATTAAACTATAGGTGCTCAGTCTAAGCCATGGGTGTTCGACCTAAGCTATAGGTGTTCGGCTTAAACTATAGGTGCTCGGCTTAAACTATAAGTGTTCGGTCTAAGCCATAACCGTTAGATTTAACTTAGTTCTTGGCCTGGTTGTAGTATTTGGTCATGTTGTTGTACTCAGTATCTTCTAGTGGTCGGTTTTTAAATAGCGTTCGGCCATCTCTTCAGCCGTACCTGTTATGGACCGTTCGGTCCTGTTCTTTAGGTAGTGAGAGACCGTTCAGTCTCCAATATTCACAGGGTGTTCGGTATTGTTTCTATGTGTTTGGTGATTTCTGTTCGGCCTATATTTATATTTATTCCAGTGGTTTTGATGGTTTATGTATGCATTAACATAATGGTGTCAAAGTGAAAGTATGATGTGTTATTTGTAATATGGATGTGAAAGAGAATTCCAAGGAGTAATGTCTCGGTGGTTGGTTTCAATGTGGTAAAAGTATGAATAAGGGAAACTTAGTCTTGGCGTTCATCCTGACATTCTAATGGCCACCGAGTCTCAAGTAGAGAATGGTGAGGCATGTGGTGAGAATAGCAGGAGGCCTGGTCGCGTGATAGCTTGGGTTTCCAGCTAACGGACTAAACTCATGTGGTAGCTTGGGTTTCCAGCTATAGTGAGGGATGAAGGGCTAACCTCGAGTGGCAGCTTAGGTTTCCAGCTATGGTAATCGTGAGGTTTTCAAGTTACCTCCCACGAGTGCACGAATGACCATAACTCATATTCATACTTGTCTGACGGTCAAAGTAAAGTGGTCGGTCATAACATGCTTATATGATATCTGTATGTGTATGATTGTATTATATGTTTGTCTGAATTGTATGTTAACATGATTAATTAAATTATACTAGCTTACCTTCTTTTCTGTCTTGTCTTGTTTGTCTGTTTGGTTTTTCTTTTGCAATAATCACTCTGTGAGTGTGAGCAGAGTGTAAAGAGTGTTCTCTGGAGCATGTGATGAGTGAGGAGCCTCCAACCTCTTAGTTTAGGACCGTTTGGTTTATACATTGCTTGTATGACCGTTCGGTTTGTTCGTATGTTTTGTATCAGAATTAATCATATTTTGTAAAGTTTTAAATTTATAGTTATTTTAGGATAACTGTAAGTAACTTTTATTCCCAATATTCGCAATAACTGTTTTATCTTATTATTATGCTATGTGTCGTTAATGTAGTTTCATATTATAATTTTTGGGATGTGACTATTTCAAATATAACTATCAGTAACTAATCTTTAAGAGAAAAATAACTCCGAAGAAGTCAATTGAATAACTATTCCTGTATACAATATTCATACATTCTTTAAGGAAGCTCCAGGGGCCTGATCCTGCAAACCAAAGTTCATAAAATTCCTTAAGGGTATCTATTTTCCCAAGAAAGTGGTGGAACCAGATCTTAGATTACAGGAATTAAGAGAAACAATTTAGTCAACATCGTGAAGAAACTCAACTATCTATTTTTTGATGAATAACTTCCTAGTAAAAATGAAAATCCCTTCTTTTCAAAATAGAAAAAAATGATTATCCAAAACAATGATATGCTATTTTGGATGAACGCGATTGAGTGTTCACTTCAAACAGTCTTTCTCACCCTTTAGCTTCCTTTTCGGCTGTTTGAATATTCCAACCGATCAGATGTATATGTTACATTTAATTTAGTTCAGTAGTTTAACAAAATAAGTCATAGAAGTTCTAACAATTATATCTTTAATATAGTATTTATATATTTCTTTATGAGCTTAGGTTGATCAAATCACAACCTTGGTATAATTTAGTCTATATAATATGAAAACCAAAAAAACACAAAAATCAAACACCTTAAACTTTGTTATCAAAGAATTGCCATCACTCTTCCAATTCACCAACAAAAACTTTTTGGATGTGAGATATTTTGTGGTAATCCTGTCCAACCCACGGCTGGTATCTTTTGCATAATTCAGGACAGCTATTAATGATTAAATTTTCAAGATTTTTGAGGTTATCAGGGAGTGACTGCAGGGACGAACAGTATTCAATTACAAGCAGTTTGAGACAAATCGCAGAAGAAAGCCACTCAGGAAGCTCCTTAAGATTGTTGCAGTCAGCAATTGCCAAGGAATGTAGTTTGTTCACAGATCCTTGCAACCACTGAGGCAAAGTGACCAACTGTTGCAAACTTTTGAAAGCAAGTGACTTTAACCTTAAATCAGGGATTTGGTTGCCAAAGCCCATTGACAATTCCAACTCACAACAATTTTCGATAACCAAATTCTCTAAATTTGATATGACATGAGAGGACAAAGACTTCAGTTTCCCGCAGTCATGCAAAGACAAATTTTTAAGACTAGAAAGTTGTATCCCTTTCAACAATGACTCCAAATTATCACAAGAGTTGAATGTTAGAGTCTCTAAAGAAGTCAAAGTTGAGATTTCTTGGTCCGGAAAATGAAGTTGCCTTGTGGTTATATGCAGCTGACGTAGGCTGATAAGTTTGCTTATTCCTTTAGGCAATTGTTGTATCTCTGTGCATTGATTAAGGTTCAAAGTTTCCAAATTTTGCAGGTTACAAACTGAGCGAGGAAGTCCCTTAAGGTTTTTATTCCCAAAGAGACTGAGATATCTTAAGTGTTTCAACTTTCCAATGGAAGGAGGTAAACTCTCGTATATAGAGTTACTCAGTTCCAAAAACCTCAAGTATTTGCACCTTGACACCAATGTGTTGAAGAAAGCTTCATTGGTGGCTTCATCAGGAAAAATTATAGTTCTCAGACCTGTGGGAATGACAGCTTGGTCTAGCAGATTATTATCACTGAATGCCAAATGTCGAGCATTGGGAGATATTTTTGAACTGCGGGGGTATATTGTCTGAAACTCACCTTTGGCAGCATACATAGCAAGATCATGCACTAGATCATGTAGTTTAAAACTGTAACCATGGCTCAATTCAATGAAATCTGTGAGAAAAGATCTTGACCACAGCTCACGCAGAAATTGAATGGCAACCTCATGCATTGTCTCATTTTCCTTTGGTGGTGGAAGAAAACCAAGTGCCTCCCACAACTTAGCAACATAAAAGCTAAAAAATTCAGAACCCTCACAGAAAAGGGAGAAGCAAACAAAACAGGGTTTCAAATGTGAAGGCAGTTGATTGTAACTTATCTCAAGAGCAGGCAAAATGTCCTTTTCTTTTTGTGGCAAATTCCAAATCTTATCGTCTCTCATAGCCTCCCACTTGCTTTTACCAACCACAGAGAACAGTGAACTCGCTAAAGTTTTCACTGCCAATGGTATTCCTCCACACTTGATCACAATTTCCTTCCCGATCTCCAACAACTCTGGATATCTTTCTTCTTTCCCTTCTTTAAAAGCCGTTTTAACAAATAAAAACAAGGAATCATCTTCAGAAAGGCGTTCTAGAAGGTAAGAGTTGGAGGATTTGGTGCACATCATGGTAGCTGTCAAGTGGCTACGAGTTGTCACTAAGATTTTACACCCTTCAACACCTACATCTAGTATTTCCTTCAAATCATCCCATCTAGCTTGATACTCGTTCCACACATCATCCAGCACAAGCAGGAACTTCTGGCGTTGAAGTGTATTTCTCAAACGATTTTGAAGCTGCTCAGTCTCAAAGTTTTTGAAGTTTTCGTTAGTTGGGTTTAGAGCAGAATTGAGGATCTTAATAAGCACATTCCTAAGCTCAAAATCACCAGAGACACACACCCACATCTTCAATGGGAAACACTCGTCAATGGTGGTGTCATTGAACACCAACTTTGCCAGTGTGGTCTTTCCCATACCACCGAATCCCAGAATGGAAACAACTGAGAGACTTTTGTCATGACCATCATGATCATGTTGTAGTAAAAGCTTTAGTATTTCCTGTTTTTCATCTTGTCTTCCGATAACATTGGAAGGGTTTACGTGGGAATAAGTAGTATCCGTCACATTCACGACACGTGTATCTTGGTCAATGATTTGAAGGCCGAACGTGTTCCCATCAGCTGCAACTTTCTGCAACCTCTCTTTGATGTCTTTTATCTCATGTGCAATTCTGATTCGGTAAATGATTGGATTACTGATTGAGAAAAAACGACGTACCTGCCTTGTGAGGCCACCGTGAGTGTTGACAACGTGCTTCCGCAACGCTTCACACTGAAAATCATCAACTATGTCTTCTGCGTCGGAGAACACTTGCTTGATCTGTATCAGCCATTCACTCAGTGAATTGCTCCTTGGCTTCTTTTGCTCAGCATCTAACAAGAATGCTTTGATGAGTGACATACTCTTTTTCATCTGTTGAAGATCTGCTTGCACACCGAGAGCAAGAGAAGCTTCATGAACGGCTCCAGAAGCAAGCTTCCCTATGAGTGATTCTGCGAAGGTGAAAAGAAGTGATTCGGCCATGATGTTTTTCAGAGAGATGTGTGGGAGTGAAATGCAAGGATACCTTGGTGTAGTTTGAATTGGTCTATATATCATTGTTTCGATGTACAAGTCCAGTGGTGGAGAGTTGCCCGTAGAAATATCTATATGAGTAGTTCAAATATTTATGGTTGAATCATAAATACCATGGTTGGTATGGGACACTCCTATTTGATTACGTTAGACGGATAATGAATCATAATTATTTGCCTTTAGATAGTTTATATATAAGAAGATATTCTCTCAGTTGATAATATTTGTTTAATATTTTTTTATTTAAATTATATTTTAGGAAATTTATTCCTTTTTTAAAATATCTTTTACATAAATATGAAAAAGTTCGACGTTTAATGAATACTTAATAAATTGTTAGATATTATTAATAAAATAAGATTATTGAGTGAGGAATTTCTTGATTCCAGACTAGTTTGAAAAGTTCTGGTAAAATGTTATATGAAATATCTATTATTTTGTTGAAAAAGATAAAGAATTTATTTATAATTATTTTTGTCAGAATGGCTCACAAGCACAAGCTCAATGAAGATTAACAAGAGAGAGAAGATCACATTGTTGAAGACACTTTACTTCATATAAGTTACTTTTAAAGTCAATAACTACAAGGAGAAAATACAACCAAAATAGCAACACATGTTTTTCTGTTTTGTCCTCATGGCTAGAAAAGTAATCATTGACACAAGAAGTGTTGGTGGAAATACAAAATATCACTAGAACATGTAAAAAAACACAAATCCCAATGTCCCCATGAAGCATCAAGATTATAAAAGACAAATCAAAAGATAAAATCACATTGTGTTTTATAACTAACAAATATACAAAATGTTATCTTCTAGATAGGGTTGTACATATTACATTACTCATGAATGAGAACTTTTCAAAGTGCTTAACAAATATTATATTCTAAATTAAGACTACAAAATAGATAACAAATTGTTGTGAAAGGTATAGGAACAATGGAAATTAAAATTTGTTCAGGTGTCAAATGAACTTTTGATATCTTATATATTTTGGATATTAATAAAAAATTGTTAAGTGTTTCTCAACTGTAAAGAAATGTTATAAGTTGCCTTTTTGAAAACAAACTTTGTAAGTTATTTTTTGAAAACAAATTTTGTGTGATTAAAGATGCAAACAACCTAATGTTAGATTTTTTAGGAGACACATGGGAGATTTGATACTAATGAGTGATAAACAAACTCATATAAGAAACCATGAAACTACCTTCAACTTAAAACCTTTACTCAACAGGTTTAAAGGTCCTTATAATATTATCCATCTTACTTATTTTTAATCAAATGTGAGACTTCTAACTCTCCTTGAATTTTTAACAATCTTACTTTAAGGGTGAGTCAATTTCACATGGGAAAACCTCCTTCTTAAGCGGAAACATGTTTTAAGTAGTTGTATCTGGGTGGAAACCCTTCCTTTGCAGTGTCATTCTAGTGTGGGAATCACTTTTCTAAAATAGAAGATTTTCAATACATGGAATCTTCAAACTTCATGAGGAGTGTTACAAGTTTCTTTTGAAAACACACTTTGTGTGATTAAAGATTGCAAACAACCTAGTGCTGGGTTTTTAAAGGGGGAGAGACTCGGGAGATTTGGCACCAATAAATCATGGACAGACCCCTCTAAGATATCACGGCACCACCTCAAACCTAAGACCTTAAGTCAATAGATTTAGGTGTTACTTATATATATATATTATCCATCTTACTCATTTCTAACTAATATAAGACTACTAACTCACCTTGAATTCTTAATAATCTTCCTCTTTAAGTGTGAGTCTCTCTTACATTGGAAGACCTACCTCTCAAGCAAAAAATATTTTTTAATTTTTTAAGTGCAATTATCTTAACAGTGACTCTTCCTTCATATTGTTGCTCTACAATAGGATATACTGTCCTTAAATGAAAGACTTTCTATATAAGTAACATTTAAACTTTAGGATTCTTTATCTATTTTACATCATACTTGTCCAAGTAGGTCAATTAGGCTTTGATACCACTCTTAGGTTTTTCAAATGAAACAATTTATAAATTTGTACATAATCATGAAACATTTCTTACTTTTTAAAAAAAAAATATCATGTCAATTAGGCCAATAATTGGTTTTGATATTAATGTATGACTCTGATTTGCAATAGAAGAGCAATAACGTTAGATTGTGAATAATAACACTGTAAATAGAATGGTTTCAATCTTTGTTAGGAAAGAAAACCTCTTATAACTCTATCCAGTGCCATTACTTAGTTACCCAGGTACCTTAGTTCAAACTTTCCTTCACTTTCCCAATATATTTGAGTTGAACGGGTACTCACATGAAACTCAAGATGTAAAATCCTTTGAACAAAATCTTTCTCTTCAGTTAAATGATTATTCCATAACGAATTAAAGATCCTTCCCTTGATCACTTGTCTAGTCCCAAGCATGCTATCAACACTTCTTTGCATCCTTATGCATAAACAATTTAGATACAGGTTCTGTAGTATCCAGATACTACAGGTTCAAGATCTTCCAATTGAGAACCAAAACAATTACATTCAATTAAAAATGAAGACATAGTTTGCTCTTTCTTTCCTAAAATCTCATCTATATACAAACTTTGTCTTTCATATACATATATACACGTGTATTCATGTGTAGTAAAAAAATCACTTCAAATGAAAACTATCATTTAAAAAGAGCCACCCTACTAGAAGAGGAACAAATAGCTGAAGTAGTCGTACTGCATGATAGGGTATCTCTTCAATGTTGCTTGTGCTGTGCACGTTAGAATCAGAAACTCAAAATGGTTAAAAGCCGCATGGAACTACTGGAACAAATTAGAGTTTTCAGTAAGGAAGCTCCAAGGTCCTGATGCAGTACCAATCCTGCATAACAAAGTTCATAAATGTTTACATCTTTCAATGCAACGTTGTAATTTTTTATGTTAATACTTTTGTTGAGTTTCTGTTTGTTTGAAAAGAACAGTGGTCTCAAGAAATGAAGGAAAAATGTCTCCAAAAGTATTGCTCAGAGTGTGTCTTTTATTTGTAGCAGAAGTTACCTCCAAAACCCTGCAAATATCCTTAGAGTCATATAAATAGACAACGCAATCCAGATACCAGTGAAGCCAAAGCTTGAGGACAGCACATATAAACTACATATGCTCACCAACGCCACCATAATCTGAGAATAATATCAAGTACATAAGCAATAATGGGGCCACAAAGGAGGAGTTGGGGGCTGGGTAATCATTGCAATAATTCTTTCAAAGTACATAATAGCAAATTAAATGTTTGGTCAACATTCACAATATCATTTTTTTCCTTGTTTTCAAAGGCAAAAGGTTGATCAGTATTAATGAATCATGAACACAATCTAATATACTTGCTTGAATCTACAGAAGAAGTAATTTTTCTAATTAACTTACCATTGAGTAAGCCGAGTATGTGAAATCTGATGCCCCATAGTTGATTCCATCAAAAACAAATGCCAAAGCATTGATGGGTTGAGTGGCAGCAACATACTGATCAAGTATTCATCAAGTAAAGAGAGGAAAAACGGATGAGAATCTATGAAATCATTATATTGTTAGGAAGAAAGAGTGTCATTTTCTATTGTATTGATGTTACTTACTGGAATGCCAATACTGATAAGTTGCAGAACACTTCTGTCATTTGTAAATAACTTAGAACCAAAGGGCAGTAGACTCATAAGAAGGACTGAGAGGACCAGCCCAAGAATCAAGCCAAGCTGCATAATAATATTACTCAAGACAGGTGAATTAAGAGCATCAATAACTAAATAAATAATATTGAAGTAGCAAGTTGGAATACCTGCAGCACACGTGAGGCAGATTCGATAACCTTTTTGTAATCCCTTTTAGCAAATTCACTTGCAATAATAGCCTGAAAATAATTTCACTATTATCTATATTGACTTGAATGTATAAAAGAAACTTAACATTTGGGAAATAAAAACATCGGGAGTGAAGATTGATACGTGAATGATGATAAATATCACAAGGAGAACATGAGGACGTAATTAACTTGTGAAATTAATGGACCGTAAAACTCTTCAAAATTACCTTTGTTTTTACTGTTATAGCCATGTTTGCTTGTGTTAATGGTAATTTTTAGTTAAGTAGATGAATTTAGTCTGATTTTGGACAGATTTGTACTTTTTTAATGATGGTGAATACACATCTTTTTGCTGATAACATTTATGAGTATGATGATGGACTATCATCTGTCATGTTTTTTTTCCCTTAAATATGAATCAAGTATGGATAATAGTATGGTTATGAAACAAACACTAAAATTGACTTGTTTCTCTTCCCTTTCATGTTATTATGGTTTAAGGTGTAAGCTGTCTTCATTTAACATTAGTGATGATTCTGAGGCAAATTCAATACAGGAGCATGTAGAAACTCACTAAATGCAATCAATAAGAAATTTGTATATGCTTTAAACAGGATTGACAATCATGGTATAGAAGTTCCAATTAGAAGTTTCGGGTGTCTTGCTGGCACATGCCAAGTATGGTATTGACAGCAGTTGAATCTAGGCAGAAAAATGTCTGAACAATTAATAATAGTTTTCAACCACTGATAAAATCCATTGAAAATCTTGGAAACCTTTCATGTTGAATAGAAAAGAACAAGAAGAACAAAATATAAGAGAAAAGACCTACAAATCTATTATTGTAGGATTTTGAGTTGAAGGCCATGTTATGCTCTTTTATACGGGTTTACTCACTATTCTGTCGAATCTCCCTGTAGTAGGATATTTATTTTGACATTTCAAATGAACTTTTGAAATAGGTTTTTGGACTCATTATCAATTACTTACTTGTCCAGCAACAGCCAATCCATCAGCAAGCAAAGATGTTGCCATCCAAATTTGTAAGCAGATTTGAAATGCAGCCATAGTTGTTGATCCTTTCCTTGCTGCTAGGGATGCAGACAAGGTCACACAGAAAGTCACTGCTCCAACTTTAACCAACAAAAGAAACCCTACAACCAAGGGAAGAAAACGGAGTCAGAAACTTGTCCTTGAGAGTGCATCAAAAATATTTACAGAAG